ATATAATTCACAGACCTGATGTGGATTCCAATCTGAATCGAAAATGATCACAGTGTCTGCTGTTTGCAGATTCAAACCTAATCCACCTGCACGAGTGGACAGTATGAAGATGAAAAACTCGCTGTTCGGTGCGTTATACATGGCCAACAATTGACCACGTTCGTCCGGCTTTGTGCTACCGTCGAGTCGGAGATATTTGTATTCTGAAATATTGTATTACGATTGCAAATTTTCACCTTTCTGAGATTCGTCTTCAGATGGAATCTGAGAAATTATCAAATATTGAGATTACAATGATCAAATATTGAGCAACTAATCAAATATTGAGATTACAATGAGATTACTCTTACGATGAACATTTGAAAAATGTTCATCGCAAGAGTAATCCCATTGTAATCATCGCAAGAAAAAAGCGCTGCTAAAGTAATTTACCTCTGAAGTTGAAGTAATCCTCCATAATGGTCATCAATGAAGTCATCTGACAGAACATCAACACTCGATGTCCTGACGCTTTCAGTTTTGGGAGCACACGATCCAACAGCTCGAATTTACCACTGACACGATACAACTCTTTGCTGAAACGCATCGGATTCCCAGTCATCGGTCATTATACAAACGCTTATATCATATAAACTTAAGCAATGATTCGGGTTACGATAATAATTTCGCGGCGCATAACCGATCAGAATAATCTGAAAATGTCAGCCAATTGCATGCGCTGAATTCAAATAGTCTACATCCTAGTCGAACAGATTCTTCGACCATAATAGTGCAGAAACGAAAAGAAGCGCCTTATCGCGACTCACCCAGAGATATCGGGTACTTTCCAATATTCACGACATTCATCTTCAACGTTCTCGAAAAGGAACGGATGATTACACAACTTCCGCAAATGAACAACCGTATTCATCAGAGCTCGTCCACCTTGCTGCAAATCAAAAATCTTCACAATAATATCACAAACAGGATCACTTATTAACTTTCCATTGCTACACCTTAAAATTTTTGAACCTCTCTAATCATTTCATAACAATTTACAGCAAAAAAATCCAGATTGTGAAATCTCCACTGAAAATCGCGCGAAATTGATACAGAACTTCAAGTAAATCAAGTATAAACTTTCATGTGAATTCAAGCTTTCGAATCCACACTGCTAATTCTGAACAAATGAGTAGATCTACTATCGATTCATATATACATATATAAAGCGAAAAACATTTTTCAATATGAAAATCCAATATCTATTTCAATATAATGATATTGGTACACCACTCGGTTTCAAGCAAAACTTTCCTCCGCGAACGGGAATCGAACCCGCGACGTATCAATTACCGGTTGGG